CCCCTTCTTCGGCAACACAGAAATAATAATTCTACTAAGTAAAAATTCCGAATTAAAAATCCTCTTTTATTATTCAAAATTCCAGTCTGGTGGCATTAAGTTGTATGTTATTTTGCTATCTTAATCATCGTTTATATGAAAACTTTAACAATAAATTATATAAGAACTATAGGGTTGCTAGAAAAAAGGGGGGTAGTTTTGAAATCAGGGGGTCCTATTCTACCCCCCCTCATCCCCCCTTTTTCTGGAATTTGCCGTCCGTCTACTAAAATTTTCCCGGTATCTGTACTCTTCCCTTGTCTTCTCACCTCCTTCGCCTACGAACGAGCAGACTTGAAAGCAAGACTGACGTGTCTGAAAGGGGACTTAATGAAGATAACAAATTGGAAGTTTTAATAAATAAAACTCGATCACGAAAAATCGACTTTCAGTCGAATACGACTTTGCCATACTTGATCTTTTATGGTTGTTATTTTTTATTCACATAGCGAGTTTCGTAAAATTTGTAAAAATATTGAAATTTCAAAATATTTTACCGAGTTAAAAATCTATAATAAATGTCTAAAATATTTACACCCACAAATCAGATTCGCCTTACCAATGTAGCAGTTGTAAGGCTTAAGAAAGGAGGCAAGCGTTTTGAAATTGCTTGCTACAAAAATAAGGTGTTGTCCTGGAGGAATAACACGTGAGTATGATGGAAATGAGATATGTATATTTATTATAATTTTCTTTCCACTTTAAGAGAAAAAGACATAGATGAAGTTTTGCAAACGCACACAGTATTTACAAATGTTTCCAAAGGGCAAGCAGCAAAGAAAGATGAGCTCTTAAAGGCTTTCGGCAAAACCGATGAAACAGAGGTTTGCAAGGAAATTTTAGCAAAGGGTGAGCTACAGGTGTCTGAGAAAGAGCGCCAGTCTGTTCTGGATTCACAATTGAACAGCATTATAAACAGTGTAGCCGCGCTTTGTGTTAACCCAGAAACGCGTCGTCCTTATCCGGCATCCATTATTGAGAAATCGTTAAAAGATGCTCACTTTTCAGTAAAAATGAACAAGAATACAAAGCAACAGACTTTAGATGCCATAAAGTTACTACGTGAGCACATGCCTATAGAGCGTTCACGCATGAAATTGCGAGTTTCGTTCGCCGGCAAAGAATGTAGTAAGCTTAAGGAGTCTGTGAGCAAGTTGGCCACCAAAGTCGAGCATGAAGAGTGGGACGAAGCAACGCTACACATGGCATTACTCATCGACCCAGGCAATTATCGTGTTATTGACGAACTTGTACGGAATGAAACTAAAGGCAAAGGTCTTGTTGAATTGCTCGAACTAAAAGAGGTAGTGGAGAATGAAGAGATCTTTTAGTTTAGATAATATATGTATATTTTATTGTAACCTTTTTATATTTAAAATTTCAAAGAATAACTAATTTCAAAATAAATGTATCCATGCAACTTGTAATGCCAGTTAATTTAATATACTTATCTATTTTACAGATGATAGAGGACTTGATACTTAAATTAACAAGTGTTTACATATATTATTATAAACATGTATATAGTATGCATAATTAGGTTATCCCCTCATTTGCGTTTTTTTAAATTTTCAAAACGACGCGATAGATCATCAAAGTCTATATCATCATTATCAGTATTATTTGACTTTGGTTCCTCCGCCGGGAACTCCGGCAAATCACTTGGAACGTTTGGCAAATTTGGTATATCTGGTAAAACTGGTGGAGCGCTTGGACCTGGTGGGGGCAATTTTTGCCGTGGCTGCGGTTTAGGTTTATTTTTATCCTGCAAAGAATTAATTTGTCAATTAAGTGCACATTTTCAACTTCGAAAGAAATTAAATTTAAAAGTTACTCGTGGATTCCAACAGAACAAGGTAATTTTTACAAAGAAATAAAAAAAACTACCTGAATATTAAAGGGATTAATTGATGAGTATCGCGGCGGGGGATCATCGTACTGTTTAGGTCGCTGTTATATAGGAGAAAATAAATTAAAATTGAAAATAAAAATCAAAGCAAAGCAGGCGTAGAAATAAGGTTTTTGACTTGTGTAATAATGATTAAATTGCTAATTAAATATGTTAAGTGATAAGCAAAAAGGCGTGGATGTGTCAGTGGATAAAAATAAACAAAATCAAAGCATTAGTTAATTCGGAAAATTTATAATTATAACAGGTTCACATATGCAACAAGGACAATTAAAAACCTATGTCCTGCATTGGAAACTCAATTTTCCAGCTACATTGCAAGTATGTATGTATGTATGTTCATAAACAATGTTAATAACAAGCTATACACAAATTACATGTTTCTTGATGAAAGTATAACAAAACTCACGAAGAGATGGCCAAATATTGGAACGTATGAAGATTTTAACGCAGCACATTATAATGAGAAAAAACAGTTTTTATGTTTGTATTCATGGACGTATAGGTACTAAGAATTTGCTGAAGAAATCTACGAACATATTCATACATTAACTGAAGGAAATACATATGTATGAATCTATGTGAGATGTATTCAACTTAAAAATGTTAACATACCAAGATATTTTCATCTGGGCTACCGCTTTCACTGTTAATACCGGATGCCGTTGACGATTCTTCCTAAATGAGTCAGCGGCAAAAGGTAAGGTGTGTTACAACGAGCAAAAAAAAAACAAATAAGGAAAATAGCATGCAATACGTAATATTTCGACTACATATGTATGTATGTTACTATATATCTTATAATACCCATTATATATGGTAAATACTTACATTTATGAAAGAAGTATTTAAATCTTTATGCTCATAATTGGATTGAGCTGGTGGTATATTATAGGCAAACGGCTGTGGTGGAGTGGCTCCAGACGCTGCAGATCCACCACCACCAGATCCCGGCCCTGGACCGTAAGGTGGTGGATAATTGAATGGCTTTGCTGCTGGAGGGTCTGGCAGAGGAGGAAGTGAGGGGTAGCCAATAAAACCCATTTGAGGTGGTGGACCTACTCCACCACCACCTCCCAAGTTATTTCGGTCTGATAAATCAATTAAATGTGCCTGTGGTTGATCGCCTAAAAACAAATACGAGCTGATGTGAAAACAAAAAACATAAATAAATGATACAGAAACACCTACTGTTGGCCTTTTCCTCTTGCATTACTTGTGGGTCGGGCTCATACTCGATATTATAATTTTTAGCTATTTCGATTAAATACTTTTCCACTAAAAGTTTAGGCGGAGCTTGAAGCTGGAGTTTATTCATCAATTTTCCAGATACTTGATGCTCTCCCGTTGCAGTACGGGAATGCTCGGCAAATTGAGGCCCGTATTTAGTAATGAAAATATCGGAAATCACTTTGAGTTCGGCCACATCACTTTGCAGGCGCGGGCACACCCACACTAAACTATATACTGCCTCAGCAATGCCATCATCTAATTCTTTCATCTGCGTAATTAAACCGAAACGGGCCAAGAGGAGGTCACAGTACATTTCAATTATTTCCATAGCTTCCACAAGATAATCCTCACTATTCAATGATTCAAAGCGTTTCAAAAGTGGTTTTTTTCCAAATATATATGTACAAGGTTCGTTAATTTACCGTATAATGTGCTCTACTCGAATGCGGGCCCGCTCCGTTTTCCCAGTGGCCAAGTAATCTGCAATTTCCTTTCGTGCCTTCTGCGCTAGTTCAGCCTTCTTTTTTTCCAATAATTTAAGCCTATTCAAAGCGAGACGAAGATTCGTCTTTAACTTTGTATAGTTTGGACCACTGGAGAACATATCTACTGCTTTTCCGGGATACAGATAATAATAAAACGTTTAGAATAGATTTAATTAAACGTCGTTTGTAAATCACAAATACTTTTGTGACTCATTTTCATCCATTTTCATTAAACAAAAAGTGACGTCGAAGAGAAATGACGTTTCAATAAGAAGTTGCCGTATTCTCAAGTTTTTCTCTTTAGCGCCTGTTTATACGAGGCAACTGAACACCGACAGAATACAAGATTGCGCTGTTTCGATTTTGGGTCTGAAAAACTTTAATTTAGTTGTTACAACGTCTCGATATTCTCCTGTAAACATTTTACTAATTAGAAATCAGTTTTAAACTCTTTGCTTTATACACAAGCACTTACACCGTCCAGTGCATCATTATCATTTTGATTTCCACCCATTTTACTTCTGTTTGTGCTACACCAATTCAACCAATGGCGGCTTTTGACATTTATTCTTCTTCTTCTTCTGCTAGTAAAAATTTCACTAGCAAGAATTTACAGCTCTCCCGTGTTGTTACGCTCCCGATTCAGTGCTCTCTTGCAAATTTTTTGGGTTATCATACACTTTTCCAATAAAAATTTGCAGGTTCCAGTACAAATTAGTACTGACTATTGGTTACTATACAAACCTAATGTAAACACGCCGCAACAGAGAACAACATGAATACCCCTAATACGAGGCAGTTAATTTTTTATCCATCTTGATATTCAGAAGTATAATTAGGTGGCAACCACAGTTCTAAAGTGACGTTTGAATGTAAATAAAATTTTAGAATCAACAAAAAACATCTGAGAATATAAACGTCAAAGATTAGCATACACACACAAACTATCTGACGTTCGCTTTGGATTCGGTTTCCGTACGGTTGCTCCATAATAGTTTGTTTTTTTGTTTAGGAAAACTTATTGTAATTAGTAATTGTGTGCTTAAGCAGTGCATTTAAGTGAACGTTATGTTGATAAGTATATATTTAACAAAGAACGCTCTTAAAACTGAATTGTGTTGAATAACACCTTGAAAAAACAAAGTTGTGGTACCACTATCTGCTACTGGTGTAAAATACGCAGTCCTAGTGGGACCATTGTTTGCGCCAAAACAAAAGGCTGAAAATGTCAACCACAATACAATTGCCGCTGCAGATTTTCGCGGAAAAACAAACAGAGAACAGAATGTCAAAATGCATTTACCATCCAGATGTCGCTATTGGAGCAGCGCGATGGCGGCCTTGTGCGCGTATTCGAAGTTCGAAATTTCGAAAGTATTCATCTTCAAATGTCATTTGTCGGAGTGCGGAGCGGGGAAGTTTACTCGATTTCCACGCCATATTTGATTTCTACGCAAGAAGAAAGCAATTTTTCTGTGAGGTTTTAACCTGATATTGGTGTCATAATTGGAATTATACAAAATGTCCTGTGTATAGAACTGCCGGAAAAGATTATCAGCAATTAAATAGCAAATCGTTAACATCGATATTGTGCCATTAAATGTGAGTCCAAAAGGATTTTATATTGTGTAATTTGTGAAAAGTTTGTCAGATGTTTTCGTGATGGTGTACTTCAGTTTTGTTGAAAAGCCGAGGCGATATACATAAAGCCGAGTGCTTATATTTGTGAAGCACAAAGCCAAGACCAAATTCCGAGACACTATTTCAAATGGAATATACCTTTTAAAACAAATATTTATGTATATTTATATATATCGCGGAAGGAAGGCCTTTATAAGCTCGTGAAAAATGTAGTAAGAAAAAATAAGTATGTATGCTTTAAAAGCCGACCTATTCGTTCAACAACAACATTCATATAGAAATCTCAATTTTCCAATCTGCTTGCTATACAGATAATAAATAAGCAAGGTCCGAAGCGTTTTTAGTTTGTCAACCGTCCTAAGTGATTTTGGTGTTCTCGGACGTTGCGAGATCGTGCAAAAAGGTGTTTGCCATTGTATTGACATCATGTGTTGTTTATCTCATTTACCATTAGGCCGCGCCTTGGCGGAATCGGATTGCTGGAAGATGGGAGTTAGATAAAGAGCAATAAATGGCAAATGTAAACAGTTGCTTGTATCGTGTGGGGTATCCTCTCACGCCAATGAGGAATTAGAAAAAATATTCTATGTACATACATATCTACATTAGGGACGTAAGTAAAAAATACGTCGACACATCGAAGTCAATAATGCCGATTTCGTTTCTACCGAAAAATGTAACCTCTTCGCCCTCTAAGCACAAACACTAACAAGAGGTGGATGAGAAGGCCACATTTTTCCTAGAAACGAAATCGCAATAAGTTAATTGTCTATTTTACTACTAATCAGGTGCAAACCAGGCAAATTTAATTTTTTTTAACTCAAAATTTGGGTAGTCTGAATTTGTACAGCGTCTTTCGTTTAGGGGGGCTTTGGGAAGCCACGACAGCTCCCCCTCCGCCCCCACCCTTAATCGTTGTACAAATAGCTAAAGATTTCCCCAAAATTTTACTGAAAATATATTCATATACCATCGTGCTTGCTAGTGTGATTTTTTTCACATTAGACGTTTCTCGATACTACGTTCCACACCAAAAAGTTATCGGTCTAATCTCGGATTAATTTATATTTATTAATTTAGGAATTTTGTATATGAGAAATCTGTGTGAGAAATCACTCACAAAAAGAATTAATTTGTTAACTTCATGAATTACAAATTTTAACTGTTCCTATTTAAACGTAAACATACAGCTTTATTAAAATAATGTCTATTATCTGTTACGCTGATGGTTTAAAATCTGCCAGATCTAAGAAATATATTTTGAAGGCACCTAACTGACCTTTAGAGGTAAATACTTAAGTATGTATGTATGTATCTAAGGTTGAAGCAATTTCTGCATCCTTAGCCAAACAAATATTGGGCCAATTTTTGTTTTCGTAGGTACATGGTATAATTCCACCATGGTTTTCGGATGAATCGAAAAGTTGATGTTTTTGTTTAGAAATTATACACGAAAACTTTAAATTTCGATTCGTACGAAAACAAGAATATGGCCTATTATATCGGGAAAATTTTCCAAAACGGATCCAGGCTTTGAAAAAAAAAAAAAAGGAAGTAATGAGGAGCTTTTTCAGATTCTAAATCTGAAGACCTCACCCTCCGGAGGCGTATAGTTTTTAAGTAATTCGCATTTAAATTTACAAAAGATACCGAATTCAGCCTCACTTTTTCTTTTGCACACCAATTGAACTAAAATGTTGGTGCTGCCATACATACCAAAAAATGCCAAAAAAAAAAACAACGGAAGCAATAAAAAAATGAAGATGTTTTATTAAAAATTGAAGTTATTTATAGCGATTTATCGAAGTATCGATGTAACCGTTTTGGACCTTTTTGGAGAGGGCATGACAAAAGAGCCCCTATGGTTCCCTAGGGACCCCTTAGAAAAATGGCCAAAAATCACAATTTTCACTTGCGTCAATCATTTGATTTCCTTATCAAAGAGTGCATTTGTCACATACTTTCATATTACACACTTTTATTTTATTTTATTTTGTATATAAATCACTTTAATCCAACTTTTATTAACTTGTAATTACATTACACATGGTTGCAAACTGACACGACTCGAAACATCTCTTCGCATGCCCGGAAAACCCCACAACCCTAACGGCGTCGTCCCTATGGACCGAACCCATAGAGGCTGCACGCTTTTTGGGGCTGCCGCTAGTGGAACCTGACGACAACGACTGAGGTATTAGCCTATCTGGGCGGGGTTGTTGTAGCCCCCCGCCCCCCCCCC